CTATTTTATTTTAACTCTCTGAGTTAACATTGCTCAGCAAAAGCATCTGCTCTTTTCAGGCCACGGAGAAATCATGCTCAAGCACTAGCATTTGCCAGCTTCTCCCAGCTCTGCCCACAAGATCCCACCTGCCCAACCCGGACCACGCATCCCGCCGTTTTACCATCGCTCTTCCTCTTGTAGATGTACTGCTCCATCTGGAAGTCGAGGTTGGTACCTCCCAGGTGGGTCCCGGCAGCGAGGAATTTGAGGACATCCTCCTCCTTCATCTGCAGGACATCAAGGCCTCCGGACATTGTGGGGTTTCCCTTTGGAAGCAACGACAGGGAACCTGCGGACACAGGGACAGGGACCCGGCTCAGGGACCCGGCTCAGCCCGGAGCCAACGCGCCACGAGGCGCAGCCGCCCCGCCCGCCATCTTGGGCCGCCTCCCGCGCTGCAGCCGCCAGGCCCCGGCCTTCCCGCGGCCCGGCCCGTTCGGCGGAGGGACCGCAGAGCCCCTCGGTGTTATCACAGGACCCCCGGTGTTATCACAGGACCCCCGGTGTTATCACAGGACCCCCGGTGTTATCACACAGCGGGAAACGCGCCCCCCGCTACCCCCCCCAGCCCCGACTCACGCTGACAACGCCGTGTGGAGGCCTAGGCGGCACGGAGCCGAAAGAGAACCCGCCTCCGCCCGGCGTGTATAAATAGCCTCCGCAGCCAATGGAGAGCCGCGGGGATGGAGCTCCGCGGCGGCGGGGACGGGCCGAGCTCCGGCGGCTCCTCCCAGGATCGTGATCCCGGCCCCGCCCGCTCGTCCCGGCCCCTTCCCGACACCGGGCTGCGGGTGAGTCTGAAAGAGATTTGTAGGATTTTGTGGGAGTACGAATTCGGATCCGGAGTGTAACTCCTATGTCGAGCTGGGGGTGTTTAGCCTGGAGAAAATGAGGCTCTGAGGGGTGACCTTATCGCTCTTCACAATTTCCCGAAGTGAGATTGTAGCCAGGTGGGGGTCGGCCTCTTCTCCCRGGAAACAAGSGACAGGATAAGAGARTATAGCCTCAAGTTTCACCAGGGGAGGTCCAGGTTGGACATTGGGAGGAATTTCTTCCCAAAAGGGGTGATTAGACATTGGAATGGGCTGCCCAGGGAGATGGTGGAGTCACCGTCCCGGGAAGTGTTTAAGAAAAGACTGGACGTGGCACTCAGTGCCATGGTCTGGTTGACAGGGTTGGTGTYCGGTCATGGGTTGGACTAAATGTCCTCAGAGTTCTTTACCAATCGAACTGATTCTGTGGTTCCATCATTCTGGGGCTGCTCCAGAGCATCTTGTGGCTTGTGCTCCAAGCAACATCAAGGCTGTTTTTGAGGCCCTGAAGCAAAAAGAAAGCAAAATATTTATTTTAAACATGTTACAATTCCATTTTGCTGCTGAAAGTGAAATATATGCTATCATGCTGATAATTATTTGATGAATTATATCTAGCCTCTAAATTGTTTACTGTGGGAGGAAGCTTCTAAGAAGCTGCAGCATCTTCGTTGCACCCACATTGCCCCTTTCTGCAGGGGCACTGCTTTGGCACCTCATGGGAGAGCCAAGATTGTCSCTGTCCTTTGCAGAAATGACAGTAAAAACACATGAAATTGACACTGAATTTACACCTTGTTCTGCAGTAGACATTTTTGTGGTACTTGCCCCTTTTTTGTGTGTTGTTGGGTTTGGGTTTTGGGTTTTTTTGTTATGTGCTTTTAAGAAACAACAGAAAGTGAAGAGATTTTAAAATCTTCATCTTTCTCACCTTCATGTCCGATTCTGAAGCAGACACAGGCCTGAGAATGGAATTTCTTGGAAGAAAAGTAGTGATACTTTACTATGCTTGCTATCATCAGGATCTGGATACATTTCTGGAAAGAYTTCTGGTCTCTGCACTATTGTCAGTGCCTTCTGYWAGTAATAATTCATCTTCACRTCCTTCTAACAACAGTGCTCCTTTMGTTTTCTCTCCTCTACATGAGCCTCATATAACCACAGCAGTTCGGCTGGGCCTGGACTCTCCTGTCAGCCTATTTTCAATGCCTGAGCCCTGAATTACCCTGGGGGATGATCGCTTAAGTAGCAGGGTACAACACCATTTCATGCATGTTCATTGTCTCCGGGAAAATGGCCCTCTATTCTTCTTTTCTGCACGCTCATTAAATGGTGTTAATTAGCAAGATTACCAGWTCAGCTTTAGAATACTCTCTAAGAGAGTAATTCAAACATTTGTCACAGGGTGRTGACAAAGGAGATAAAATGAAACTCAGCAATAGGTAGTTAGCTCTTAGCAAGTTCATGAACTATTATTGCCCGAGAGATTATAGACATCTGTGGCACCTTGATAAGTGCAGAGTGCAGAGTGCAGAGTGAGAGCTGACCAGAAGGGGCTATGTACAGCCTGTGTACAGGAGCAGTGTGAGTGTTAGCTTGGGAGGGAAGACGGGAGGTGGTGGTGATGTTCCCGTGGTCTTGTGCAGTGGAATTATTCAGGAGAACTCTTTTGCACACAGTTGAAACCCAACTGGATTAAAAGTATGTATTTGAACATAATGATTGGAAATTAAATAATGAATATTGCAGTAAATGTGATGTTACCAAAGTATTCCTCTGGTATCTCTAATACTTTATTTCTTGTTACAATGGGCCCTTACCCTAACCCTAACCCTGTAACAAGTGGGCCCTTTCCACTCGACCATAAGGCCCACAGCCCATGAGAGGGCTTGGAAAAGTCTTTATCAAGCTTAGCAGTAAAGCATTTCCAATTATTTCCTTAAGTAAGATAAAAGCTTGCTTTATTTTTTATCTGTGTGCTGAGACAGTTTTAAATAAATGTGTTACTAATGGACATGTCCCTCGGTGTAAGTGAAAGTGTACCTATCTTAWCACGTGTTTTAGACAAGGTTTCCCCGGTCTAAAGTTCACACTGAAATCTGTTACACAGTTACATGCAGAAAGTGAAGGCAGTCCCTGGGAACAGYCTTTGTCTTTGCTGCAAGCAAACCCAGGGAAAGGGGCTTTGAGCCACTRGTCTTCCTGCAGTGCCAAGGGCCCACAGGAGCAGAGAGAAGCATCATGGAGCTACCACCAGCCTTTGGGTGGTGCACTGAGAACCCTGAGCAGGTGCCTGGGGTGGTCACAAAGGCCCAGAGAGAGCACTCCCAGAGAGCCAGCCCAGGCTGCAGGGAAGAGCAGCGGCCCTTGCCAGAAGCCTCTGAGAAGGGGGCTGTACCATGACCCCCAGCACTGGTAGAGGAGGCGTTCTGTGCTGCCAGAACAGCTCCTGYGATGAAGGGATTGAACTGTGTATCTGGGGCAGAGGCTCAGGCAGAAAGCTGTTTGGGCAGTATCTTCCCCACCAAACATGACAGTGGGTGTCACCCAAGAGCTGGTGTGGCACCCCTGGAGAAGACGACCTATGAAGTTCAACCCACCTTCAGTGAAATTGCACTAATGTTACTGTGCTTCCCTGCAAATTCCATTTTGGCTTGTGTTTCAAAGGTTTGTTAGTACTTATGACATGTTTTGGAAAAACATATTTTGGCAAACCTCTTCCCTTCTTATTTCTATTTCTACAAAGGTAGTATTGCCTAACACCTGTTACAAAACTTGCAGAGGTCTCATTTTAACCTCTTACTGGGACTGGGTCATTTTTACTAAAATTCTTCAATGCAGTATGATAAAAACTCCTAAAGCGTTTTACAGTGATAAAATTGCAAATGAAGAAACAGTGCCATGTGGAAAATCAGCTTGCTATTTTGAAATAAGCACCCAAGTCAGAGGGGATAAGCACAGTCAAGAGCTCCACATGGAATTTGCAAAAGTAGACATACATATGCATCTGTGTGGGATGATCAATCTTTCTGCTCAGTTCTGGTGTCAGCACTTTTGAATGGCACGTAACATATAAAAAAATTAAAAAGCAAGCAAAGTGTTTGCCCATTTTTAATGTGAAAGGGAGATCTGTAACTCAATGGTTTTGTCACAAGCACAGTGCCTTTAAACTTTCCATCTTCACCTTCTAGCACCCAGAAGGGTCAGGGAGCTTGTCTGCTATCTCTTCTCACAGCTGGGCAGCTGTCAGCATCGTGAACAGCAACTCCCTCTAGGTAGGAGGTGGTTCTCCAAGGCAGCAGGAGAGCTCTGGGGAGTCCTGTGAGCATGAGCAGGCACTGTCCCTGGCCTAACTTGCTATCAGGAAGCTGCACAAGCCATTCAGGTTCAGCTGGCACAAGGCTGCACCTCAGGACTGTCTGGTAGGTCTGTCACACAGATAACCAACCCTCCATGAAAATTGCTCCATGTGAGAATGTATCATCTAAGCAAGAAAAGAGAAGAGGCTTGGGACCCTTACATCTGGAAGATGTACATCTCAGTATCAATAACATTTTGCTTTGCATAACCTGTCTGCGGCTGAATCCCAGAACCACTGTGACAGCAAGAGATCCCACAGTCCAGCATCACCTAGCATTATGCCTTGCAGGAGACAACTGTGCCCCAGACATGATTTCTGGTCCCCTRCTGGGATCAGACTGAGTAGCAAAGACCTGATCAGCAGGAGATTAAAAACAATCTCTCCTCAGAGGGCTTAAATCCCCACTGTCCTGAAGGCAGGTATTTCACTAGCGAGTAAAGGGACTCAATTTCCATCTGTTTTTACACACAGCAGGCAGGCAGAGGAAGCTGTGCCTGCTTATGGGAAACATAAGATTCCCCATTGCTATGTGTTTTTTCCACATAAGTAAAGTTGATTTACATTGTACTAGCAGAGCCTGTGCATATTAGACACCACAGAAAAGAGAATATTCATTGGCTTGTATGGGCTCTGAACACATGCAACAGTCCTGCTGTCCTGCGAAATTCCTTTTGCCTTCTTAAGCCTCTATTCCATCCCACCCCTTATGCATTTGACCGATTTGGGGCTTGTTTTTTTTTTTTTTARGAAACACTGAAGAGATTACACCCTTTATTTTAGCAACCAGTTTTTAATAGAAATATATAATATACCTTCTCACATAAATATTTCATACAGACACATAAGCACTCACAATACTCAAAGCTAAGCAATGTTCTGAAGCTCTTGCACTGTTTAAAACAGTGCAAGAAAAAAAAAAACAACAAACAAATCATCACCTTGCAAGAATGGAAACATGAAGTTTTTAAAGCACAAATAATCCAACTATTTCTCTTGTATCCCTACAACTCACTTAAATATTGCCTGCCTCAACATGCCAGCCAGTTGTGCTCTTAAGMCACAGGGGCAAGCTCTTAAGCTGCAGGGGCAAGCAGAGACACTGCATGTTCACCAACAGTGCACTGACAGCAAGAGAGGTCAGTCCAAGTGGGATCCARCTGCAATCCTGCCATGCATAGAAGGGATCACACGACTCTCTGGAATCCAAGACAGGATGGCTTTGGGAATGATTACCTGACAAGATAGTTAGCATTGAATTGCTGGCATGATGCAGGTAGGTGACTGAGCACTTCTGCCCAGATCTTTTATTTTACTTAGCATTTAGGCTGTACATTGACCTTTGTTGTTAACTAGAAGCATTAAACCTCAAGGGGAGTATATCTAAACTTCAAGTCCACATACTTGATTGTCTTGACATGGTATACCAATCAAGGAGTAAYTTAAATAAATCACTTTACAAATAGAATGTTTTTGAAGAGGGGAAAAGGGYGAAGGATAGCAAGGATCAGAGCTGAGAAACAGTCTTGTGCCTGCCTATGTGATAAAGCTTTCAAAATAGAGTGAAGCAGAATTTTAGGCTTTCCCTTCCTCCTGACAAAAGAAATAACAAATTAAAACAACAAACWCGCAGTGCAGAATTCATTCTCCCCAACTCTCAGGTAGGTAAGTTTTTGCATTTGCAGCCCCAACAGTAGATGAAACACAATGCAGTTTAGATTCTCTTTCCTAAACTCAGAGGAGCCCAGGTTAATCCACAAGCYAAAAACCAGAGTTTTTTAATCTGCTCCAGTAAAGAAAGTGCCACCTCATTCTCCACAAAGGGGAATGGAAGAACTTTACTGAAGGAAAAGCTAACACTGCTTTAGGCCTGATTCCAGATTTAAAACAAACAAATCCCACGGTAGTCTTTAAAACATTAGCACATGGGAATTAATTCTCTGCCTCTTCCTTTGTTACTTGACCAGGCAGGAGCACAGAGATATAAAAGCCACCGAAGTGCTCCTGAACTTCAGGTTTCTAATGAGGACCTTAACTGCAGATTTATTACCTGGCATTCTTTGCTTGCTAACCTCATTTTKAAGAGCTTGTTTCTGTCTACACAGGTTGCACATTGATTTGCCATTCTAAATCAGGAACAAAATATGTGTGAAGCACCTTGCAGATGACCCCACAGCCACCCTTGACTACCACAGCCCAGGATGATCAACAGATCCAGCTCACATGCCAGATYTAGAAAGCCCCAAATAAATTCAGACTCCCAGCACAATGCTGGTTTGATCCCATGCAAGGGGAATAAAGGACAAATGASGTAACTCATCTAACTGCCACCATATTCTGCCAGGTCAGCAACCCTAGACTTGGCTCTCCAGCTCTCAATGCCAGTAATGCTCAGGATAGCAAACAAGCAGGATGTGCAGTTACCACGGCTTCGTGTACTCTCACAAGTTCAGGTCACTAAGGGTAGAAGGGACAGCGGAAGTAAAGAACAGATGTTCACATTTAGGATTTAGCAAATACTGTGCCACATGCCTGATTTGATGCAATGCTATATTRTTAACACATAGAGATGTTGGACCCTCCACCACCATTCTTGGACACTCCTGCACTGCACAGCACCAAYCTCCCCTCACAGATGGGCCTAGTCTGAAAACAGGCAGCACCTTCCAAGCCTCCAGCCTCCACCCTTACACTTTAGTAAACTTCTACATTAGTCACCAAGCCTTCTTGGAGTTGAAATCTGGTAAAGAACACCTTTAACAATACACATCCTCTCTATCCACTCTTGCGCTTGGGAAGTTGTCAGGGCAGGCAGTGATTGCAGAACACATTCTAAAACCTATGAACAACAGGCAGGTAGCACTAGTTGCTCATACAGCTGTGTTATGTCTTCCTATTCAGAGTCAGGTGCTCTGCTTCTAAAGTGAACTGCAATATCCCTAGATATTTAAGAAAATAAAAGCCAAAGTTAAGTTGTCTGCAAGGCACACTACAGAACAGGATGCACACTTCCATGCCAGCTTCATGGCTATGCTAACAGAGCTGCAAGGGACCCAACCCACCAAAGAGGCACAAGTGAAGAGAGGAGGAGGCTGTATCCAGCACACACTGTGAGGTCTGAGTAACACAGTAGGAAAGARTAAGAAGGCACAGAGGATGAAAAGTATTGTCTGAGCCTTGGGATACTCAAACAKGGACTACCTGATAAAAGGATCAGCCAGGAAGATGTGAAGGGTCTGGGTGGAGCCCTAAGGGAATTTAAGGTCACTACCAAGCACCCCTAGGGTTGAAACTTTGGAGAAAGGTTACAGAAATAGCAATTTTTTCTTTCCAAACCAAAATATACCCCACATGCAATCATCAGTTGTTTTACGGAAAATCTGAAGTGCCACCATCTCTATCTGTTTCCATTATACATTTATGCATTATGAGCCATGGACCTAAAAGCTACATCCAAGCACCAGTTCACACTGGATGTGTTGATCAGGGACAAAAAAAAAAGGAATAGGATGCAAGTAAGTTTCTATGACAACTGCATTAAAAAAAAAATAAAACAAAACCCACTTGAGCGTTCCTGCTATAGTTAGACTAGCAGCATTTTTCTTTTTATCAGAGAACAGGTACAACTTTGGTAGCAATCAATTCTAAAGTGCCTTATGCTTCTTAATTCCTGTGCAAACCCTGCTGTAGAGGCAGAAAGACATTTCAAGCGTGCTAATATGCTCAATCACATAGTAACACATAACATAGCAAGGAGGTTCCAGTTACTCTCTCTATGATCACACACAGTACAGAAGTGATGCCAGAGACCATGTTTCTAGCTTTTCTTCTGCACTTCATTTCTCTTTCACTCACTCCTGCAATATAAGTATTAAGAGACACATCCAGTCTCCCACCAGGGCCTGGARTGTTCCCTGTGAGAACAAAGCACATGAGGAAGGAGGATCTACATCAGATGGTGGTCACTGCGGCCTTTCTGGCCATGTCAGCAAGGAACAGGCTGRCAGTTCTGCCATCAGTTTTCTCCTCAAATGCATTTGCTCTAGCACTGTCTCATTGCATAAAAGGGGTGAGCACAGAGTTGTTTCTAAAAAGGGCTTCTCAGCCCAGTTACCAGGCTGTGAAAACCCTGCCATTTCCCATGGCAGACTGCAAATGCATTCCTTCTGGAATGCACTTGATCAAAAAACGCAAAGATCCAATCTTTCCTTTCCTTTACGTGCCAAAAGGCCTAATCCCCTATCTCAGACGACCTTTCTTCCTCCTGGCTGAGCAAGGCTTATTCCTCTGTGGAACTGGGAACTTTCCAGTGCCAGTGGATCACAGGAAGCGGGAGAAGGAGTCATTTCTCATGCATCTCAGTCAGGACTTCAAGCCCATTTTTTCCATCATCTGTTCATACACCGTCCATGCCATTGCTGCCATCAGAGTGCGCCTGAGGGCTCGGGGCACACCACCTCGAAAAAAGCCAACCAATCCAAAGTCCTGCAACAGGAGATAAACAGCAATTAATCATAATCTAATTTCTCATTATTTATAACAGGGAAGAGCACAGGGTGTATTTCAGCTTAGACCCAGTTCAGTTTCTGAAAGACCCAGGTTTAAAGAGCATTTAGTGTTTTGGAAGACCAAGTAGCACTGTGCAACTCCAGAGCTAAAGAAGAAAGCAGGAAGAGCAGTGAGAAGAAAAAGGAAGGCGAGGATGGAGACAACAGATGGAGAAAGTCACACTCAAGTCCACCAAAGAGAAGGCAAGGGTGTAATCATTTCTAGACACTTCAGGAAAATGACTAGTCTTTGTTTGAGAGCTTGATATTTACAAAAGTCTCTCAGCTATTCTGTAAAAACTGAGTTTTTTAAGTACTGAAGTAAAAAACTATTCTGATTTTAAAAAAGAGGTACATAAAAGTGCATACACAAAGAAACAGATTGCTGCTTAGGAACATAGCTCAGTATGGAAACAAAGCAAACCTGCCAAGATCTGCCCTTCTGACAGCAGAAAGGGCTTTGAGTACTTTTCCATCCCATTCCTGGAATAAAGGTTTGGGCATTTATTTCTCTTCTAGTGTGCAAGGAGCAAAGAATTATTTAGTAGCTGGTTTGTATTTGAAACCAGCATTTCACACTGCAGTCTTGGTCTACCACAGTATAACCTCTTTCATCATCTTGAAAATACTAACACTGATTTGTCCAAATGCAAGAGCAGATGAAGCACTGATGCTTGTTCACCTCCTTTAAAAGGCAACAACTTTCCCAGCATAGCTGTGCTTTGAGCAAGGGGATCAGAATTGAGGATGTGATTGTGCATGATAGAAGGAATTCACCTCACCTTGTAGATGAAGGCAATGGTCTGGCTTGTCCTGTGGTACTTYTGGGGCGACAGCTGCATGTGTGTTTTGATGACATCAGCAGGCTGTGTTGCCAGAGAGGCCAAGATTCCCGCTAAGATCCCACACCCAAAATTCAGCAAGGGCACAAGCACCGGATCCAGCTGGTCTACAACAGAGCAAAGGGAACACACTCAGACACCACAGAGGCCAGGAACACTCATGCTGTGTGACAAAGTGAAAGCTATTAAATGATGAAATCAACATCAGAGTCTCAGATAAGTTAAAATCCATGCATCTAGAGAAACCTTTCAAGGGAAAAAGTAGTTACTTGTCAAAAGTTAGCTCTACTGAAAAGCCTCACTTGCTGGGAAACTGAATTTGTCAGAAAATCAGGAAAGAAAGAAATTGTACAAATGTTGCCCCAGTGAGTTCTAACATCAGAGAAGCCTCACATTAGTGTACAGTTGCACATTGAACAGTATGCAAGACAAGCAGAAGCAGGAAGCAATGCTGAAGACACCCTCTCTTTCACCTGTACACTAACCTACTTATGCATCAGCCTTCATAAAGACAGTCAGTCTCCATTTCTGCACTGACCTCAGCTATAGGTCTGCAGTTCTGACCTCAGCTATAGGTCTACAGTTCTCCACAGGCAAACGTGAGTGTCTCACCTAAAGGCCTACAGGAAACCAACTTAACTGTTGAGGTGGAGGGCAATAAGCAGAGCATGCAAGCTGTCAGCTGCAGGGCATCTGAGAAGAGGAACATTCTCCATTCCAGCCTCCAACATTCMGCCTTACCCTGAGGTGTGAGGTGTTTGGTCTGTGTGTAGAACATCAGGTAGATGCCAGAGAAGGGYGCATCCCGCAGCAGTGTTGCTGTGAGCCCACTGAACATGCCACGAGCCCCTTCAGTCTGATAGATATTCTTCAGGGCTCCAAATACACTCCCATAGCCAAAGCTTCCACTCTGCAAGGGCACACAAAGGTCAGGCATSTGCCAGGCAYAGGCTGAGAAGCCCTACACACATGRTAGTATGAACTTAATGTGATGCCCAAGACACCAACACAGGAAAAACCCAAGGCAAAATTTGGTTTCAGCTACCTCAGCTTTTAAAACAATCCCTCAGGGACACAAAATATGAAAGATGATACACAAACATTGTATACAACTGAAACTTAAAAATCTCAGGGCAAATTCTATTTCATCTTCTTGCCTAATTATCAGTGTGCAGCATTTCCAGCACAATGTGTGAACTGAAATGAAATCAGGACTACATCCCTAGAYCTACCCAAGTGGCAACAACCTTCTYSCAGCAGAAGGATTTATTYTGCAYCACAAGGAAGGTGTRTGACACCATTAACRGGAGACTGCTTGGAAAKTCATACCTCATATCGGGTCTTCACTACAGTCACTGGCAACATGCAAATCCCAGAAACTGCACGAGCGGTGGCACCCAGAAARACAGACTCCAGGGCTGTGGGTGAACGGTCCACAAGAAACTTTTGCTTCATCACGTACAAAGAGCTGAAGTAAAGGCCAACCCCAGGAATACATCTTGCAAAGGACTTCAGAAGAAACAGAAGATGAAGAAAGGAAAAGCTTATATAAGACAAAATATACTACAGAACATATCTGAGACTGTTAAACTTGACAGGAAGCTTTGTAGAAAACAAAAGTATCACTAAAGCTAACATGCCAAAAAAAGAAGAAAAGGTAGAAATAATTTATGGCACTGACAGAAAAATTATTTAAATAACACCAGGATTTAATGCATTCCTCAATGGCAGTTTTCTAGGAACAAGATATTCCAAACCAAAATTCAGTTCATACAGTTGTCACCCCACATTTGCAAAAGTAGTCAAGTATTCAGCTGCTCAGGACTGTAAAACCACAGGGACTGCCATATCTGAATCAGTGAAATTCACATTAATTCCTTAAAATAGGATGTAATCTAAATCATGTGATTTTCACTAATAATTGTACAAGAGTTGGCTATTTAAATTCAGGAAGACATGATTAGCAATAAATAGTAGGTTTATTTAACTACTTATTTTTGCAAGTTAGGGTTAAAACAACCACTTACTGGAGAGACACCTTTCCAGAGCCCCAAAATACTCTCAGTACGAACAACCCTAAAGAGCAGTGTTACCATCCCAGCGTTACGACCAGACCTGAAAGAAARACAAGATAGGAACTGCAGAGATGACCTGCTTCTACTCCTTGGCAGATGCATTCCACGGCCACCCCTTTCATCTGTATCCCTGTGCATTATCCCAGCATTCCACAGCCATCCCTTTCATTTGTATCCCTGTGCATTATCCCAGCACCTCCAAAGTGCTCTTTCTCATCTCAGTCTGCTTTTCTCGGTCGCTCTTTCCAGGGCTTCTCCATCACCTTCTGTTTCTCACAACTTGAAACACACATTAGAGCCCTCGCCCATTAGCATTTTTTGTCGCTTATTCCCTTTGTTAGCAGCAACAGATTATAGGTTGACTACAACACAAATTTTTCATGCACACATGAAAAATTATCTGACAACTACACAGGACTTTTCCCAGGCAAAGGACACCCCATGAAACTGCATGGTAGCCACTCCAGCAAACACCAGTCTCTCAGATGAGAACAGATGTTGAGGTTACAAGTTTTTCCAGCAGCATCCACAACCAGTGACATTTTCACTCTTCTGGAGCAAAATATCAATCCTTCTCCATGATCTAAAAACATTCCTTCTCTATAAGAAAGACTCTGATTTCCCAAATTACAACCCTGAACTCCAAGCTCCAGCCAGCAAATAAGGCAGAAGCCTGTGATGGAACACCCTCACGCCCTCCATACACACACATCTCTCACCCATTCACAGCAGGCTGCAGAGTTTGCAGGCGTGTTTTCAGCAGGTCAAGGGGCTGGAAGAGGAGTGTGGAACAAGTACCACTGATGGAGCCACACACAAAGGCCTTTAAGACTGGATGCATCTGGAAGAGGAAGAACAGATATTTAAGTGGCCATTTAATTAAGAATGGCACAAGAGGAAATATTTCAGCTGATATTTCACATTATAGGAAAGGAAGGTGGGCTGACTCCAGATGCTAAGGACAGCWGTTTTGGGCACAGGAAGCCTTTCCAGACCATTTCTGAGACTGATCAAGTTTTACCTGTGGTTTTAGGTCCCTCTGCTTTTTCTGGGAGAATGTTCCAGAATCTCCTTGAAATCCAGARGTCAGAAAGACTATTCTGAACCTCAAATGTATTAGCAGCTTTTGTTTACCGTTTCCCATGCCAGAGGAAATAGGTGTCCCCTTCCCACCACTTACCCGTACCTTTGCCCCARTCCCATGCACCTCTTCTGGCAATGTCCCCAACCTTTCCCTGCCACCCTGCACACCAAGGTCCCTCCACTGCCACGGGCACTGGCGGGGAACGCTGCCCAGACCCAAACCTGGCCCAAACGCACCCAAAGCAAGGCACGGCCYGCTCAGCTGAGGCTGCCTTTCCTATTCACAGCGGCTGCCGTCGCTTGACACTTCTCACGAAATAATAAGGCAGGAGGCACTAACCCCGTGGCAGGGTGAAGGTTTTTTTTTGTTTGCTGGCTTGTTTTTACAAACGTATGACGATGTTTGCTAATGGAGGACGARTTTCTGCGTCCCCCGGCAGATYAGATAGCACGGACAGAYCAGAAGCTACGTGGGGYACACTCCAAGCCAGCAATGGTTTCMCCGGGGTCCGCCCGGACCCACCGTCACAGCGCTGGACCCGTCCCCCCGTCCCCTCGCYGCCCCGAGGCCGCGGGTCGCGGCGCAGCAGTGAAGGGGCGCAGCGAGCCCCCASCCCCCGCCTCCCACCGGGACGCTGCCCCCGGGCTCTCCTCGGCGGAGCGAGAGAAGAAAACCCGGGGCAGCGGCCCGCTCCGGCGCGGCCGTACCTCCGGCTCCCGGCCCGGCATCCCAGCGCCGCCCGCAGCCCCAGAGCGCGGCGCAGGCCCAGCCCCCAGCCCGCCCCGCCCGGCGCATGCGGCTCCGGAACCCTTCGCCTGCCGCGGCCGTGATCCGCGGCTCGCCGCCACCAGCCGCCTCCGACCCCGTGCTTGTCACGGCTTTTGACTGTTCTACCGAGAATCGTAGAATGTTTAGGGGTAGGAATGGACCTGAAGGTTCATCTAGGTCCAACCCCACTGCTGCGGGCTCAAGGCCCCATCCAACCTGGCTATGGACAGGGTCAGGGATGGGGCATCCACAGCTTCACTGGACAACCTGTTCCAGTGTCTCACCACCCTCACTGAAAAAGAAAAAAAAATTCTTCCCAAGATCTAACCTTAATTTCCTCCTTTTCAATTTATGCCTTCTTCTCACTGCAGTTCCTGATGAAGAGTCCCTCTCCTGCTTCCCTGTAGGCCCCCTTCAGATACTGGAAGGCTGCTATGAGGTGCCCACACAACCTTCTTTTCTCCAGGCTAAACAGCCCCAATGCTCTCAGCCTGTCTTCATAGGGCAGGTGACTCCAGCCCTCTGATCGACTYTGTGGCCTCATCTGGATTTGCTCCAGCAGTTCCATGTCCTTCTCAAGTTGGGGACACCAGAACCTTCCWGCAACTGTACTCTGTATTCCAGAACTGTACGCTGTATCCCGCAATTGAGCCCCAGCATGCTCTGTCAGACATGGGCAGTGGAAATGATCAGTTCATAACCAGCAGCTTTTATGTCTCACCTCAGTTCATACCTCCCACTTCCCCACAAAACTGCCTCCTTGTGGACACTGTGTTGTTCAGAAATCTGAGTTGCTCCCTGACACCTCCTTACCGTTGTTCCTAGTGTTTCCACTTGCTCATCCACATCCTGGGCCCAGAGCAGAGGAAGGCTGGGTTTCCAGAGCATTGAAGAACGGAGGTGCCGAAATGAAGCGTTTCGATATTAGACCTGTGCCAGCCCTGAGACTGTGGCTTCGCTGTGCCAGAAAAGCCAGACACTGCTTATCGTGAATGAAGCCAGAGGAGSCTGGGAGGAGCATGCAATGGCTTTGGCACGCTGCTTTTCTAAGAATCTGCTCTGCTAGCTTGCCATGCCCTGACCACGTAAGGMATGACATGTCCAGAACGTCATGCTCCAGCTGCTCCTGGAAGGGAAACCTTGGGTGTAGCAGTAGCTACAGAC